ACACAAAACATTTTCAATGTCTTGACTTTACAACTCGTAAACATTTATGTGAATACTTATGAAAAATATTTTATTCATTCAAATCTAATAAAACGTGAATTTTATTTGAAATAGAAATTTAAAACTTTTATTTTTGCTTAAATTTTTATATTCTGGAAAATTTTTATTCAAATAAATATAATGTATAAACAAACTTCACAGTCATTTAATATTACAAAATATTATATAAAACTTTTGTGAACACTTATGGCTAACAATACAATGAATCCCCTGATGGTAGACACAAATGTGTTTGACTTTTTGTGAGTTTTAGTGAAGATTGAATACACGTTTTTATGAACAATTTGGGTTTCGCTGATATATTAAATTGTATGACATTTTACATAAGCTTCAAGAATGACACCAAACATATTAATCAATATTTAAGTAAAACAAAGTAACAATACATAACACATGTCTGCAATAAACATCTATAAATAGCCTGATATTTATATATTACACAAGAATTTCAATTCATATTTGGGTTTATAATAGTTAAATAAAAGACAGACGAAAACATATCTATAATAATTATTTTCAAAAATATTTTATCACTTTATGCTATCATTAAATGAGTTCATTATTCGTCTCGTATTCGCATTCAATATATTATACAATAATTTTCTTCTTATTTATTGATAACAAAGAAAGTGAATTCAATAAAAAGAAATTTATTTATTCAATAAAATGTTTTCTTATTGTGAAAAGTCTTTAAGAAAGAGAGATATGATGTTAAATGAGATAATTAAGGCATTAGAGAGAAGTCATCATTGAATTGAAGCCAGAATTTAAGTGAAATAGTGAAGCCATTTGTCTAATCCAAGTCATTAGTTAAGGCGCTTATATTAATTGACATGAATTGAGTTAACCTTATTTCTCTATGAATACTATCAATAATATAATTGTCCACTAAATTCACTAACAGTGGCGAAGAAATTGTGAAATAAAATCTCTTCATTCAATAATTTACAGTAGATTTCTATTCTGTATCTAAATATAGTATAAAATGGATTTTGTGTTTGAAATATAAAAATTTTAAACTATTTTTCCTTACTTTCTTATTGTATTGGAAAAACGGAAACAATGGTTAAGATATAGATATCAATCCAAACGACAATATATTGGAAAAATGAAATTGTTTGGAAAATAATAGACACAAAAAACATTAAGTAATATATTTTAAAAAGTAAGACAAATGTTATGAAGAAATAAAACAGAAAATAAAGGAAAGCAAATGGAAAGGGATATAAAGAAATAGAGAGACGGATAAAAATAAAAGCCATTTACTTTTGCTCTGTCCCTCTCGTGTCCGCTGTTTCTTCTGAGCGCTAACTTATTATTAATAATTTTGTCTCTCAATAGCTTTCTTCCAATCGAGGCGTAAGAGAAAGTTTGTATTAATAACGGGAAAGCAAACGTCAATATGAAGACTGAGGTGTTGTATATTTTGCTCGTCAACTCATCCATCTCTGCTCCTCTGCAGTCATAATAAGTGGTGTTATTCCATATGAATGCTTCAGTTGTCGTGTGGATCTATCGGATCAATCAATTATCATCTCATTAGACACCCACCAATTGTGTCATGTAATCACTCTATCATTTTATGTGCAATCAATTTATGGTATTTATAAGACTTTGCTTTGTGTTACGAAAAAGTCATTCATTAACTTCTAATTGCGATTATTATTATTTATTTCGCTAATAATCGTATGACTAATAAAATTATGAGATTTTAATGCCAACAATAATGAGTGGAAAAGTGTTTTACTATTCTGTAGTACAAAGAAAATAATTTCTCACATCATATGTATTACAGAATTTTGTGCGTAAAATTCAATGTTTAATTTGCAATCAATCACTTTGTTTGACATTTTATTCGCCAAAAACTTTTTCCTCTCATTTTCATAGGTTTAGAAAATTGATAAAAGAGTTTCAAAATATTTTCATTTTGTAAAATTAAAATTTATGTACTTTTTTGTGTTAAGAAATTAGTTTATTATTTTCAAACCCCTCACTGTTTTGCATTAGTTTATGTTAAACAGAAATTCTTAATTAATACCAAAGCATTTGTTTAAATTTAATAAAATTTTAGTTTTCTCTTTTTGTTCATTTATTGTAATTTTGGTTTTAAATTAAATTTTTAAATTAATTTTATTTTAACAAACATTTAGAGAGAAAATGGACTAAATTTTATTTTTTAAATCAAATAACGCTACAAATGGCTAACATTGAAATAGTCGTGCAATTGATTCCTGGGATTCACTGGAAATGTCAAATCACATAATGTTTATAACAAAACTCATTAGTAGTCGAAATGTTTCCGAAGGATGTATTCATTTATTGCAGGGATTCTTGAAATTAGTTTTAGATAAGATCTCTCAGTCTAAGAATTAGTAGTATTTATTCACGAGATATCAATACTATATACACGGCTATAATACTGTACATACGTTTCAAGAGATTCAGTGATTTTGTTAAAGTAAACACTAAAGACATTATTCAATGAACGCTCCAATTGTTTGTGTCATAAACTAATACTGAATCAAATGGGATCTGTCTTGAGGTCTGTTTTCAATCCAGTTTCCACTCATTTCCTATAATATAATCTCCAAATATGTGGGAATATATTTACCAACATTTCGGACACACAATTCCACTACTATTTAAGTGACAGAATATTATATATAATCTTATTTTAAGAAACACTTCCTAATCGATATCTCGGCTTTCTTTTGGGACATTATTCCCGACAAATAGTTTATTAGTTTTCACTTAACCTATCGATCCTATGGCTTATAAGTTAGTTAATGTGTGAAATCATAAGTGCATTACCATAGCTACGTGTCCTAATATGCCACCCAATATCCATCCAATAATGAGCACTATATGGCAACGACCGGTAAACCACTGGTTCTTATTAGAGAGCGGACACAGAATCGCGAAATATCTGTCAAAAGCAAACAAAAAAGTCACTTAATTTGGAGGTATCATGTTTTTTGTAAATTTAATTTATTTCATAATAAGATATATCTTAGAAGAGTCAGTGAACGCACAGATATAACATCAATTAATTGCTGATAAATCTTTTAATCCACTTTGAGCTTAATTTTAATCTCAAAAAAAGTCATAAGAATCCATAAAAAACAAAATATATAAGCATTAAATCTAACATTTGTAAATATTTGTTTGTTTTAATCTAATCAATATTAATAGTTATATTTTATGTGTTGATTATTAACTCAAATTCATATAAATCTATATTTATAAATAATATGGTTCTCAGATGTTAGCAAACATTATTAATTTGTAAGACTTCTTAAGGATAAACATTATATAACATACTTTTTTGTTTGAGAAAAACACAGTAATAGGCATATGGCATGTAGTAATAAATAGCTGGCTTATGGGAAATAGCTTAATATTATATTCAAATATAAGAATTTAATATTCAAATGAAATCAACAGTTAATCGCTTTTAAGCAACAGTTATAAAACAAAATTGTATAAAACGACATCAATTTGACACAAAGTAAGTAATGTTTCAATAAATTGTAGGCGTTTTGCAGTTAGCGCTAACATCAGCGGGAAATTGATTGCTGTATTTAATGTGTGCCAAAAGGCTCTCATTAATTAAGCCCTTCGAACACACATTCTCTCCATTATTAACAAAATAGTTAATTAAATCTATTAAAACAGATCTACTTTTGGTTCAAGATTTGCATTAATTATTTATATTAACAATTTGTTATTTTATTTTCATATAACTAAGTCTTTCCAATTAAATACCAATAAATCTAGTTTTAACTCATAACTAATCGCATTT